TTACTCTATCTTCGAGGGGCATGCCGTCTGTACCTTTACAGTCGGCTACTCTCCATTGAGTATTTTACTCTATCTTCAGAGGGGCATGCCGTCTGTACCTTTACAGTCGGCTACTCTCCATTGAGTATTTTACTCTCTTCAGAGGGGCATGCCGCCTGTACCTTTACAGTCGGCTACTCTCCATTGAATATTTTACTTACCATAGGGGCATGTCGTCTGGACATATAGTCGGCTACTCTCCATAGAAGATGGCCGACTGGTTCCAAAGCACACAGCCACCCCCCTTATACTTAGATAAAAAAGATTAGGGCCTGGCCGACCCTGTGCCTAACAGGCGGCTACCCTCCTTTTACTTAGCACCTACGTTCACCAAGAACTAACCAAGGCCACAGACCGAATGATCAGACCAGGCGCCAAGCCAACTAATCAAATCTTCAAAACTAATACGACCTGTCCCAACATCATAGCAGGCGTCCGGCGACATCCCTCCGGATGAAATTCGTCGCAGAGAGCAGCTCCCATTTGGGTGGAACATTGCTCTATAAACTAATTACACGGCACCTATACGACTGTCCCCAAGGGCAACCACGTAGCCGTTTTTGAGACAAGGATAACTCTATCACTAACCAAACCAGTGGTAGCAGTTGACATCTGAGTCAGATGACCGCCTGTATTACTTGGGATAAATGCAGGGGGTACCTCTTGAGTTCATAGCCAACAAACATTGGCGAATCAAAAGGTTCAGCCGGCCTCCGCCGCCTGGTACCTTTACTACTCAAGCAGGAGTGACGGCGACTGAGTAACACCAAAGTTAACTCATAGTCACTCTCTCAAACTTAGTATGGAGCCTAAAAGGTATGAGTCGTCCGCCTGTTTTTAGCAAACAGGGGCTCTCAACCACTACACCTGCTAGGTTAACAACCTATGAGTTAAAAGCCAACAAACATTGGCGAATAAAGGGGAACAACCGGTACCAACCGCTTGATACCTCTACTACTCAGTTACTTGGCGACTAGGTAACAATCATGTTTACTTGGTCAAACCACTTTCCTACTTGGTTAATTTTACAAATGACAGGACCGCCTGCCTAAAGGGGATCCAGTCTTTAAAATGGTTCGAATACCGATTGGATAAATGGCCGACTGATCGTCTAGCCTGGAAACAGACAACCAGTCGTCCAGGGGCATAGGCGGCGTGACTAACTATCCGTACCTGTCTGCAACTATCGGCCATGTAAAACAGTCGGTATAGTGTACAATTGGATATCAAAATATTCAATACTTAAACAAATTTGAAGCAAAACAAAAAAATCATTAAAAAGAAGTCGGCCATTAAAGACCGGCAAAATATTCAGAGCCCCGGCCCCCTGGCCGAGTAAATACAAACAAACGGCACGCAGGCCGTGGAAAGAAAACATAAAGCTTAAGAAGGGGGCAGATTTTCAATATCAGCAGCTGCCGCCTGGTCAGCACTCTTCTTGCTGGACTCGGCTTCAGCTGCATCCTTCTTTGATGCATTACCCCCAAGCGGCACAAGCGCCACTACCGGCTGCTCCTCCTCCTCCAACGCGTCCTCCAAGGCCTCTTCCTCAGCAGCCGCCAGGATCTCTTGATTATATCTATCAGAACACTGGCGGTACGTTTTTTCCCATGAGGCAAAGTCGGCATTGGGGAAGAGGCAGCCCCAAGTCATGCGCTGGATTTGAGCAGAGTCTTCCATCATCTCCCGGACCAGCTCTTTCTTTTCTTGCTCGGCCTTTTCCGAGAGCTCCTGAGTAAGACTCTTCTTCTGGGTCACCAGGCGTACCTTTACGCTCGCCAAGGATTTCTCCAAGGTTTCGTATGAGGACATCTTTTGGCGAAGAGGTCTCAGCTCGGCCTTGAGGTTGTTGATGGTCGCCTACAGCTCGCTATTCCTCTTCTGGGCCGCCTCTAACTGAGCCTGGATAGCTTTTGCAGCTTTTACCTCTTTGTTCTTCCGGTCAAGCGGCTTGCGAAGACCGTTCACTCGGACCAGGGCCTAAGTAAAAAGGGGAACAGGCGTCAGTTTCCAAACAAAAAGAAAACAGGCGTCCTGGAAATCAAATACTCAAAAATATGCTAAGTATATCTCAGCAAGGACCCCTGCAATCCCGTCTAGGTCAAGGGTGCCGACACCCTTGACCGCCTCCCTTTCAGCTGGAGGAACGGCCTTGATCATAGACTTGGTACCTTGACCAAGTTAGGCTCCTGATGGCCGGCTGCATCAACCATAAACAAACGAGTTAGACCTAGTAAAGAAGGGAACAAGTCTAAATTCACAAAGACAGCTTCATACTTCTAGGCGGCCTAATTGGAGTTTTAGAAGGAGTGGACGGCTGTTTCTCAGCCGCCGCATGTTTCCTGGCAGAACCAGGAAAGCTCGCAACAGTCGTCCTCCGGGCCTTGGGGTCCGGCTGTTGGGAAAAAGAAGCTCTTGGAGCGCCCGTCTAAAAAAGAAGAAAAGAGTCAGTATATACATAAACACAACTCCAAAAAGAGGGTGAAAGGTTCGAAGCCCACCAAGGGTGCCCCCTTGTTGGGGGGGGGGGGTTGGTTGAAGACTGTTGCATGATGGAGGCCCGCAACATGGCCGCCGCAGTCTTGGAGGCGGTAATTTTGCTCATGGCGTCCGCTGCAAAAACAAATAGCAAAGTTAATAAAAGTCATAACAAGAAATGCACGGAAAAGCAGAGTATTCGACAGGCCGGCTAACTCTTGAACACCGACTGCTGAGGCCACAGGCGACCAAAAAGTATTCGTCGTAGAGCTATTTGAAGCTCGGGACGCTGTGCAGGGGTACTTGCTCTCGTACCCCTGAAGTAGAGTTCACCTTCGACTCTACTTTGAAGAATCCTTTATCTAGGATCTCTTTCTTAGCCTTGGGGGGAACAGGCGGCATGCTGCGGCCGCCTGCAAGAAGGGGCGGATTCTTGTTCCACCTGTTGAAGCGCTTGTTCAGCTCTGTGTCTGAACTCTCAATGATAAGGAAGGTGCTCCGCCAGTCCTTCCATTTGTTTGCTTTACCTCTCGTCATGAGGTAGCCCCTGTGGCTCGTCAATTGATAACAGCCGGTACCGCCTGCCTTAGGGGTCCGGCTGAGGTAGTTCATGTGGGCGAAAGCCTCGAAACTCGGCTCCACCCCGTGCAGTTCGCACCCGGCCACATAGCCGAGTACATTGACCTAGGAGTTCGGGGCTAACTGCAATAACCCCAACTCATACCCATCCAAGATCCGCTGAACAGCCGGATGTAGTGGGAAGCGCAGCCCAGCCTTGATGGCCGCCTCGTAGCAGCCAAAGCAGGCGCTATCATAACTGGTACCAGCCGGCCAGACGACTGTGTCTTCAGGATCCGGCACAAACACTAAAAAGCCGGGGCCCGTTGTGTGGTTTGCGATAAAGCTCTCCACTTTCTCTTGCATGGCTGTGATCCGGCCCCGAGGTACTGTGCAGTAGTAGGGGGTATTTTGCTCTCGGTGAGAGGCGGATGGCTCCGCCCAATCGTCCCCCTTCTCAACTGCGTGAGAAAGCCTCGCCTCTTGCAGGCGACTGTTTTTCTCTTCTGTGTCCAGGGAAGCATGGCCAGAAGTGCTAGACTAGGAATCGTCCTCTGACGAGTCCGAAGAGGACGACTTCTCCCCTCTCACGGAGGGGCCCGCCTCCTCTCCTTTAAAAGGAGCAGGAGAGAATGAAGAATTGTCAACTGTAAAATGGGAAGGGGTCACTTTGACTCCTCCCTCAAAACTGCCGGCTTTAAAGCCGCTTTGTTTCACTTCCACATCTGGCGTCTGGTCAGATGTTTCACTAATCGGCACCCTGTGGGAGGAGCCGTCTGAGTTTGAGATTCTGGCAGTCTTTTTTGTCCTGGCCATCATGCTCTGCATAGACACAGATACAGTCGGACTTTGTATATAGGGCAAAGATGGGTCCAGAAAAGGGCAGGCGGCACTCCTAGTCCTAGATTCAGCCGTCCCCGGTGACCGGCTGATCACTAACCTAGGTCGTGTCGTGTGCTTCCGTGGTGCCATTTCAATAAAGAATAAAGTAAAGAGAAAATTAAGAGTAAGAGAACCGACGATTACCTGAACGAGTGACGTTGATGGAGTTTTGAAAATCCTGTGCAGTCGGGTTGTCAAAGCAAGTTCAGGGGTCTGAATGTTCTCTCACAAAGTTTCAAGTGTGAAAATGACCGAAGTCAACACTCCTTTATATAGGCAAAGTGAGAAGGCGAAGGGTCACTTCCAGAATTCATAATTTGGGCGGGAGAATCTCTCGGCCTTTCGCCGAGTGACACCTGTAGCAGGCCGTCGCCTGTTACAGTGCGACACCTGTCACAAGTAACACGTGACCAGTCATGTGTCACCTGTGAGGGGCAAATGATTAGGGGATTTTGCTCCCACCAATCGGAATGCGCCACGTGGGCCAATCAGATCCTGCCAAGTGTCCCCCAGTTGGAACTGTCAGGGCTTGCCACGTGGCACACGCTTATTCGTCCACCTTGGACCTATTATGTCATGACACGTGGCATACTCCATGCCTAATGGAGAAACTGGCCACCTAGGCCCAACTTCCTAGGGAAGCCCAATCAGCCCAAGGTTAACCTAAACCTAGATTGGCACGTTTCCCGAGGTTATAAATACCTCCCTTAATCCTCATTAAGGGGGATTACAGGCTGATCACGCTAAAAAAGCAGATTATCTACATTAAACACTCTCACCTAGAGAGACTCAATCACTTTAATTTCCGCATTAATTACTCCTTAAACAAGTACTAACTTGATCGTTGGAGGCGGAGCTCCCACCACAAGGAGTCTCCGTTTTTTTGCAGGTACAGGCGTCCGGTTTCAGTCTCGGAATTGTAACTCTCCCGCAGGACATCAGAAAACCCCGAAACAATTGGCATCTTAAACAACATCTGGATATGATACATTAATAACAATGCAAATTGATTGCTAACATGAATGGTCGAGTATTAATCTCACATTCAAGCTTCTCTTGTGCTTCAGGATGCAAAAGAAGATTTCCAGTCTCCAACCAGTGCATAAAAGCAAGCAATGAAACTACTGTCTGAGTTTCATTCTTCCAATCATTATGATACCTGAGAATGAAGCAAATGATTAGCACCAGAAACAATCAAAACAACGCCGAACCACAAAATTATGATAGATCATGAAAAGTCCACTTTTAAACTTCAATATCACTTACCTATAATACTGACCAGGACAGTCTCGAATGATCTCCGCGAGCCGGTTAAAGTGCTCCTTAAGTGGACCAATTTGTGACTTTGATTTCTCTAACACCTCTTTTTTATAATTGAAAAGAACCCAATTAACAAATATAATTAATTATTGATATAAGAACTAAATGCAGCTTATATGACTCAAATTCATGAACTAGTATCCATTAACACTACAAAATTCTATAGTTCATTCTGAAATTAACTCCTCACATTATCATTGAATTGAAATATTCCAATTAAAATGTGATGCAAAATTAACAATAATTACAGCAATTTAACAATAAAATACACAAAACAAACTCCAAATTTCCATATTTTCGTCAAACTGAAGAATACCCAGAAAATTCAAGGAAAATTTAAAAAAAAAAAAAAAAAAACGTAATGCAAATATTATGCAATGCAATATATACCAGTAACAGGGCGAGATTGATGAACAAGAAGAAGATTTGCATGCATGATTCTAGTGACAGACTCAATTTCCAGTGCAACATTTCGAATTCTTTCGCGCAAATTGCTAGACTCGTCGAGTTGGGTTCGGAAGCTTTCGAACTGGGTGCCTAAGGTACCATCAAAAGGGGTAAAATTTCCAGTTTCTGCCATTGAAGGTGAAGAAGAAGAGCTTGAAAAACTAGAGCGAAACGTTGAGATTTTTGAGCTTAGAGGAGAGAGAAAGGCTGGAATATGAAGGGGTTTTGGGAAAGAAATTGGGAATATTGGAAAATAGTTAGGGTTTAAGGTCTTTGGCAAAAGTTGGGGTGCGATTCGAAACGCCTTCATTTTGCGCGGTAGTGAGACTAGTGACTATTGACTGAGAGTCTCACTCCCCTTGTTCATATAATCACATCCAATAGCGATTTTTAATCATATGATCGCTTCAGATTCGGTGAGGGTTAGATTGAGTCATATTAAATTAGGGTTTGTTTTCTCCGTCTTAATTTTAATTCAGTTCAATTCAGCTTTAATTAGTTCAGTTCTCAATTTCCTTCTCTCATAAAATTTTTATTTCAGCTCTGTTCAGTTCATTTCAGCTCTATTCTATTCAATTTAGTTCAATTCAACTCCAATCAATTCATTTCTGCTTAGTTCTGTAAATCAGAACAGGCCCTCATTGTATTCACGCGAGTCCATCCAGAATCATATATTTTTCGAGTTATTTTCAAATCGGGTCAAGTTGGGTGTGGTTTTGACACCTCTAGTGATGAACAACGGGTCAATGGCTAATTGACCACATTGGTATCAAATTTTGTATGGACAACCTAAACGTATGCAAATATTTAGGTAGGCCATGGTCCATCTAATTCTACCTTGTCCAAATCTAAAAGGACACTATTATTATACAAATAATTCTATGTATATTTGTTTGCCAGTTATTTATCCAATAAAATGTTCTTAAAAATTTCAAGCAGATGCTAGCAAAATAAGCGATGAAATCTTTCTCAATTTCTCGATTTAAAGTTTCCTAAATTAGTAAGTGTAGGGAATATTTCAAGCATTAATCCCTTAGCTTGAACCCCACTGTGATCATACACTAAAGTACGGTGGCTTCCAAAGAGAAAGAAGATAAAGCAAAAGAGTCGCCAACAAGTTTTTTTAGGAACTTGTAAACCGTTCACGAGGTGAAGGTTACACTCCTTCACGATCCAAGAGATCATCAACTCCATAAGGTCTTGAACCAAATAGGGTTCGAGGATGAAGGTACAAATTCAACCTAAAAGAGATTGAACCTGCCCTAATAATAGGCCTCTACTTTGTTCTGATCGTATTCATGTGCGCTTTCTGACTAACATGCAATCAATAGGATTAACCCTAAACCTGTTTATCTAAATTGGTTGAATATTAATGCACAAATAAACTATTATTGGCGATCACTTGAATTATAATCAAATTAACCCTAAACAAGATCATTAATATCTTATTAAGCGTGATTACAAGTACCAATTCCCTTTAAACATGCATAAAAGGCGTGATCAAGCAATAATAATAACCATTACAACAATTATAAAAATAATAATAACAAATTATAATTAAAATAATCATGTTAAAGCATAATAAAAAATAGCAAGATCCTAGGCATGATACTAACAAGATTAAATATTTAACCCTAACATGATACTAACAATCATAAATATTAGAAAAACATAAAAGGCATCATAACAATCATACTTGATATTAAATTTACCCTAGACATGATACTAGGAATCATAATAACAGCCTAAGCATGAACTCTATATCATAACATCAATAAAAAAACCATTAAAATACTTACTTTGATGCCTCGTACCTCTTTCTAATAACAAAATACACGCGTTAGTAACTTCAAGGAAAATAATAAACAATTAAATTAAATAATTGAAAGAGAGATTTGGGACCAAACCCTCAGAAATATTAAACCTTTCACGTCTAGGGAGAATGCAACTTCGAATATGGCTAGGTGTATCTAAATCTAATGAATGCATAATTTTTATATTTGTGAAAAGGCTAGTTTAGAAAAGAGAGAGGGAGAGAGTAATCAAGAAAATCTGATGAGAGTTGGTGAAAACTGATGAAAATTGATGATTGTTGATGATTCTGGGTGATTCCAAAACGGAGTTTTTACGACGTTATTTATAGAAAATCAGCCAAAGAGATAAAATATCAAAAACAGAGTTATGACGCGTAAAACAGGAATTAGCGCCAAACGCTGACCTTGGCGCCAGACGCCAAGGCTAGCGCCAGGCGCTAAAGCTAGCGCTAAGCGTAGCGTTAGGCGCTACAGCTGGCGTTTGGCGCTGACTTAGAAATTCACGCATTTTCTTAAAATCAGATAGAAATTGTCGTACATGAGGATAAAATCATATTTTTCCTCAAAAATGCTCTTTGATTTTAATTAAAACTCTGAAAAGTCAACAAAAGTCAATTTATCAATGCTAATTGAATTAGGAATGAAAAGAACCTTCTAGAAGAATCTAGAAGACTAAAATCATTCCTAATTGCATTAGGAATGATAAATCCATATTAGGCCTTCCTCTAGATCATTGGGCCGCACATAAGGCTCAAACCGGGCCCAGTTCAGTAATTTGGCCATAACTTCCTCAATATTCATCAGAATTGGGCTTTATAATATATCGTTGGAAAGGTCTTTTCAAGCCCCATCCAACTACACTACTATTGGACCCATATCATGGACCAACCAAACTGGATTGGCTATTTTCTTAAAATAGGTTTTCAAAAACAGAGGGAAGATAAAAGAAATTAAAACTTTCCGCAACACTAAACTTTCCACACTTTCACTTCATTCGATTATGATTCGACGTGAAAGGTACTCATCACTGGGTTTGGTTTTGGGGAGACATGAATGGGTGTCTACAGAAGCCCCCACTTTGACTGAGTTTGGAGAAACGCAAGTTTCAAAAACAAAAGTCAAAGTATCGATAGGGACGGAGAATGATTCAGAACGTTCTGCGATCCTAAATTACTCTTGTAACGTCGATACCTGCAAACTAGCGTTAGTTAAACAGATAAAAGAGTTAAGAAACGCGTATCTTGCACCGTCGAGCACACGTCTCTGAAAGTAACCGATTTGCTGCTGCTTTCTTCTTTTGATGACCTCCTGCTAAGAGAATGCCATCCCGCTTGAAAACCGCTACGCTTGTAACTGCTTCCAATATTGAAGATTGCTTCGCTTGAAACGATCCTCCTCCGCTTTGATAGTATTCCACGTCCAAGGGAATATCATCGAAGATTGCTTCGCTTGAAACAATCCTCTCCCGCTTTGATAATATTCCACATCCAAGGGAATACTATTGATATGTCTGTTTTATATAGTGTTTTACCCCCGTCCCGTGGTCGTTATTAGTAGTGTTTTTGGCTCTTTCGGGCCACTTTTATTACTAATATGTGTTTTCTAGTGTTTTCGTAGTTTTGGTTAGGTTTTGCAGGGAGTTGCACCTTTGGAGCATTTTCCCGGAACCATTATGAAGCGACTACGAGCATTGGAAGAACACGACCACTTATGGAGCCCAAGGCCGGTTAGAGCCATCGAGCCGGTGATTAAGGGCTCGGTTATTTGGATCACGAGGCAATTGGACCATGTATTCGAGACCCGAGAGGAAATATGGATTGGGCCGAGAAATCTAGCCCAATCGAAGTCCAAGCCTTGGAGAAGAAGACCGAACCCGATCAGGCAAGCATACGCCCGATCGGGCGGATGCGTGCAAGGGCAGGATAGGCAGCAAGCCGAGGCGCGCCCGATCGTGCGAGGCTTAGTACGATCGGGCGATGCAGCGAGAAGAGCATGCGAGAAAAAAGGCGCGCCCGATCGGGCGGCCTCTAGCCCGATCGGGCGCGTGTTTCTGGAGAAGTGTTTTTGACGAGCATTTAGTTTCTAATTAGGAGTTGTTTTTAGTTTTGTTTAAATACGTTTTTGTACGGATTAATGAGAGACTTCTTCTACTTCTTCTTCCTTAGTCTTTCTCTCTCTACTTAGACTTCTCTCTCTAAACTCTCTCTCTAAACCTTTGTTCTTAATTCTTTCATTAATTCAGATTTATTTTGGTAACGATTTCTCTTTCCTTAATCTTAGTTATTTATTTTATTCCTTTCACCATGATTTATTTTATTACTTTGATTAGTTTAGTTTTTAATATGTGTGAGTAGTTTAATTTCTAGGGTTTATGGGGATCTAATAAATAATATGAAGGGGTAATTTATTGTTGTTAATTATCAATGCTAGATTAATTTCCTATTGATTGATTTAATGCTCTGTGACTAGATTAGGCCTATCTTGATTAGGCCTATCTTTTATGCATGAGTTTGACAATATTGATTCAAGAATCGAGAGATGAGAATTGATGTTTAGGTCTAGTTTCAATAGGCATGTTAATTTATAAATGGTTAAGTCAAGATTCGAGAGATGAGATTTAATACCGATATATTAATTGTGTGATTGTAATAAGTAGCGAGAGCCCTTTACAATCTAATTAATTGATGCATTGATGATTGACTATTATTTATTGTTGGTATTGCATGATAATTTCTTATTGGATTGTTTTAATGTTTTACAATTGCGGCTTGTAAAAGTATAGAAATATTAAATTGATGAATCGAGCAGATGTTAATTTGATATTAAAGGCTATTTTCAATAAGAACTTAGATCTAGTAAATTGCGAGAGCCTGTTAGATCTATGTTGGTTAATAAATTGCGAGAGCCTGTTGTTATTTATGCAATGTCAATGATTGATTACCTTATTTTACCCTGGAGTATTATTTATTGGTGAACCTATGCCCTAGATCCTTTATATATTGTTTTCTCCCTTTTTCCTACTCTTTTTAGTTTAGTTTCTTATTCATTCATAAATATTTGTTACTTAAATAGTTTAGATTATATTAATAAATTAGGAGTAAAAAGACTAGTTTCCCTATAGAGATCGACCCTACTTCCCTATCTACCTTAGTTAGTGATTTAGGTATTTATTTTTGATTAAGGGATACGACTTTACCCTGTCAACTATCGAAGACAACTTCGCTTGAAATCACCTTCAGTTGTCTGTGACAACTCTCCACAATCTATGCAATTCCATCCTGCTGTTTTCATGTTCACTCGTCTCTGAACAAAGAGCTTCTTGTTTTTGGATATGTTCACGCGCCTATGAACAATAGAGCTTGAAATACATGTCCACGCGTCTCTGAACAAAGAGCTTATTTTTTTCAATATGAACTTCTGAATGATGTGTCCACGCGTTTCTGAACAAAGAGCTTGATAATAGGATGCCCACGCGTCTCTGAAGCAAAAGAGCTTGATGATATGTCCACGCGTCTCTGAACAATAGAGCTT